CTCTCTGGCGAGCATATGCATCCTATGCAAAAATCTCTCTTAAAAAAAAGGGGGGGGGGAAGGTTTCTAGGCATTATCCTCAGAAACTGGTTCTGAAGTAAGGCTCAAGGATTATACTTCCAAGTGCCCCTAGTTGTGTCTGAAGAGTTGTCGAGGTTTAGAACCACAGATACAGGCAGTGGCTTAAAGCCACTGGTGTCTCACACCCAGCAGGGGAATAGTCTTAAATGGTGGGTGAGGGAAATGGGGATTTGAAAAAAGCATAGTGAGCTGCGTTCACTACAGAAAGCCAAACTTGGCTGATGGGAATAGCAGAAGATAACCCCTAAAGGGTCATGGACTGTTAAAGACCTGGAAATAGCTAAATGCAGGCCCTCTCTCCCACCCTCAAGTGGGATTTCAACCAGTGGCACGGCTATGCAGGATGCTTGACATGGAGCATGGGGTTGGAGCTTGAATGGCCGTATGACAGTCTGGCTTAGGATCACTTTTCCCCAGCGGGTTCTGTAAAGAGAAGGTTTTTAGATAAAAGAGTACAGCTTCAGGCATCAGCCAGCGAAAAGAGCTTGTGAGTGATGGACAGCTAAAGGCGTGGAGGTAAGTCACATCGTCCGTCCGATTCAGCCTAGGCCAGAGGGTTGATAGGAGATGCTAGAGCTATAGAGGCTGGGTGAAGGTTTTCAGCCATTGTAGGGAGTGGAGCCATCAGTGCCAGAGCCCTAATAGTAGTGAAGATTCTCAGCCATTGTACTAGGGAGTGGAGCCATTGGTACCAGAGCCCTAACAGTGTAAGGTTCGAAGGTTAAAACAAAACAGTATCGAGACAGCGAGGCAGCCCGAGTGACCGTATGAGACAGCGAGGCAGCCCGAGTGACCGTATGAGACAACGAGGCAGCCCGAGAGACCGTATGAGACAGCGAGGCAGCCCGAGAGACCGTATGAGACAGCGAGGCAGCCCGTGTGACCGTAAGAGACAGAGAGCTGTATGAGACAGCGAGGCAGCCCGAGTGACTGTATGAGCAGTCACAGTCGCAGGCCCACAGTCAAGACCCAGACAGGCTGTGAGATGTGGAAGAGAACACAACCCAGAGTGCCTGGCGGCAGGCAGGGAAAACATTGCACGTGTCTGTGATGGGACTCCACGGGTGTGGAGCTGGCCTGAGCCAGGGTCATTTCAAGTTTGACTGAATCCGTGGCTGATGTATTTCCATAGGCACAGCCGACAGAAGGAAGCAAGAGGCCAGGGAGCCAGGTAGCCCCTGACTGCCGAGACCGTGGTTTTACCATCGCAGTTGTCACGAGGCTCTTTTTCCTCCCCATCTTTTTGGGTTTTTTTGTTTTCCAAATGTTCTCCAGGGTGAATAAATTTACATCATGCTTTGATTTTTAAGAGAGACTAGTCTTCACCTTGCTGAGAATTTAATTCTGTATAATTTCTTGAAAGTCATTGTTCTTTTCATTATTACTTAATATAATGATCATTTGGATAATATTTTACACCATAGCAATTATCATACCCACCAAATCTGTCAACAGGATTTTGCTTAAATTATCCTCTATCCTGATGAACCAAGCCAAGCCCAGAGACCTATCAGTAGATTACCTGCCTGTCATTGAACATGGGGGGAAGCGAGTGCAGGAAAAGTGTGAATAAGTCGCGTTTCTGGTTCAACTTAAGTTATTCTTGTATTGAACATAAATAGGAAATGCTTGCTGGCCAATTGATAGTGATGAAGTAATAGAACAGACATAGTAGCTGTTGGTGGCAGTGGCAAGTAGCAGTAGCTTATTTAAAGTAGTAGAAAGTCACACTTTTTGCCAAAATGTTTAGCATCTGGGAGACACAAGTGATTCAGTTCATTCGGTCCATGGCCTTGGGCAGTGTGTTCATCGGACCAGAAATGAGCATAGATCCTCACTTCCAGGGGTTCCTTCAGCCTTTTGAAGAAACATCTTCCTGAACTGGAATAGGTTTGACTCCAGCACTCCAGCTTCAGTCCAATGCGGAGCTCATTAATCCACCTATTTCAAAGATATTAATACTTTTTCTGAAGCCTGGCCCTAGGAGCTTTCGGCGCTGAATGTTGGGGAAGGGGTGAAGTTAGATGAACTGTGATGGTGACTTCTGTTTGGAACCGTAGTCCCGTTGTTGGAAAGAAGTTCCGCTGATATAAGGAGTTTGGAACCCCCGCCCAGGCTCACAACCTCCAGCTTCGCTCTCGGGAGGCTCCTGGGAGCTGTACAAACAGGTGAGGCTGGAGTTAATGGCTGTCGTGCTGCTGGTGGTTTCAGGCATTTGGAGCAATTTTACTGTAGGCTGTTAAGTGAGGTGGAGGAAAAGAGAAAAAAAAATGCTTGTCTTCTTTCTAGTCTTCTGTTTGTTTTCATTTTGGACTTGACATAATTAAAAGCACCAAAGCTAATAGGATATCAGCAACTGTTTATGAAACAGTTTTTATTTTTTGATACCTGCCTCTGCCTGCCAACCCCCAAAACCAGGAAGACTAAGTCAGATTAACCCATTGTATTGGTCTTCTCACCACTAAAGATGTTAAGCAAATTCCTCAGAACAGGAGTCACATTTAAATGTACTAAAGTTAAGGTCATCTGGATTTTAGCCCTTTTATCTGTTCAGAGTGAGTGTGAGTGTGCGTGTGTGTGTAGGTGTGTGTGTGTAGAATCTCTGAATTACAGTTCCATCGCTCACGCTAACTAGGATAACTTAAGTAACTCGCAGGTAATATCCCTGGTTCCTCTGTGACAAGTAGATGTGTTTGTTTCTGCACAGGCTGGATCAGGTGCAGCGCCACCATGAAGAGGAGCAGAGTTGGTGGCATCACCATGCTTTTTACGGGATACTTCCTCCTGTGTTGTAGCTGGAGTTTCAGGCAGCTAAGTAAGCCTTACCATATGCTTAGCCTAAATTACACACCCATGCCATTGCCAGAACCGTCAAGGGATTCTCCAACTTGCTTCCCATAGCGATGCGCCACATCTGACATGCCCTGGTGAACAAGCGGTTGCCTGGTGCCCTGGGGGTTTTATTAGAGGTTTTGGGAAAGGGCCCTTTGTAAGATTTTATTAGAATTGACATGATTGCTCTTGTCCTCCATGTGATATTGGCACTGGAGACGGGTGGTCTTGTTTTCTCCCTTAAGCTGCTGTCCTGCTTGAAGGGAAGGTGCCCTCCTTGCTGCCTAGGAATGTGTTAGTGATGGAAACGACAGACACACAGAACAGAGCTGCCACTCACCAGTGTGTCTGACGTAGCTGCCCTAGTTGTTCTACACCTAATGTTTAAAACAGCAAACACCTTTCTAGTTACGAGTCAGCCTGCACCAGTTTTTAACTAGGAGGAAAGTGTCTGCGTTTGACTTACCTTCTAATTCAAGATAGCTTTTGTTCATTTTTTAAAGTATTTGACTTTAATAAAAACATACACTTACAATTTTTTAAATTAGACATTATAGGAGGATATCAGAAAAGTTTTGTAGTTTTCCATAGCTGAGGGGGAAAAAGCTTACTCTCAGATGGAAACTTTCAGGGTAATAGTACAAAATAGCCATGAACTCTGAGGACCAATATAGTTCACAAATAGGATGGTAAGACTTCTTTTAAAAAACAACCAATGCTCCACCTTAGTAGCGCACACTGGTTAATTTCTCCTTAGGTGAGGCCACACGGGAAGCACAGATTCGATTTCTGGCCCACCTTGAAGAAAGACTGTGTGTGCTAGTGCACACCTGTGTCCTAGCTACCTGCAAGACTGAGGCTGAAGGAGCACAACATGAGACGCTGTCTGAAATACCACACCCCTCCCCATACACACACACACACACACACACACACACACACACACACACACGGCATGGGCGTGGGGGGGGCAGGAATGAGATTTGATTCTAACTGGCTTTTCTGGACTGACTGAGTGCCTAGGAAGGAGGAGGAGAGGGTGAGCCGCAGGGACTGACGGACGCACTGTGTCCCGGCGGGAAGGGCGCAGGGCAGCTCTGCTATGAGACAGCTGCTTCTGGTGACAGGGAGGAGCTCCTTCCCAGTCAGCCCTACAGAAGAGGCCAAAACCCAGAGTCATTTCTCCCACAGAGAAAAAGGCTTTCCTTGAGTGTTTTCCCAGTCCGGCAGGGGTTAGTCAGTGCCTGATACTGGTCGGTAGCTATTTTTCACATCACGGAAGAAAACGGGACACAAACTTCTCGTGCCTAACACTCCATTTCTGAATGCCAAAACCAAACTAGCACGATGGTCTATAAAGCGAGTGATAGGAACCCCCGGAGTAGCCTCGTGGATCCTTACGTTTATCTCTGTTTTACAAAGAGCTGCCACGCTGGCGTAAGTGACGTTGACCTGACGCCTTCTACGAGGGAGCAGGAGGGAGCGTGGTGGAGCCAGCGGCACTGCTTATTCAACCATTGGGAGGTGTGTTGGGGCAGAAGGCTGAGAGAATAAAGGCACTGGAGTCCAAAGCAGTTACACAGGAAGTCACTTTTCATTAACGGGATAGATCTCGTTCTGCCCGGGTGGTGCTTTGGTTTGCTCTCAGAAATGACCGGGAGTTATTTATGAAAGTTTTAGTTAATCATCAAGTTGTCACTCAAGGAGGCATGACGTTACTGAGGGAGGTGCGGAGGTGACAAAGTTTATCATTAAAATTACACTATTTCTTCAATTTTTAGTAAAACACCAGCATCTCAATTTTCAATCTTTCTCCTTAAAATTTTTCTCTCTGGGACCAGCAGATGTAATGGTTACATCACTGGACTCCCACATAGTCAACTACAGTTCAAGTCCCAGACCCAGCGGCTTAAAACTCTTGCCAGGCACATGTGCGTGCATGCCCCAAATCTCGAGATGAGAATAAAGGAGAAAGGATTTCTTCCTCTGTCTCTGTCTCTCCAGTGTACACACATGCCATATAGCAAAAATCTCTCTTTTAAAAAAAAAAGGTTGGTTGGTCATATCACATGCATGCACACACCCAGCCCTTAGTTTTGCTTGCAATGTCTGAAAATACGTGAGGTCAGACCCTCTAGGTCGCAGCTCTTTCATAACTGCACAGAAGCAGTGGGCTGTTTGAAGGCTGGTGTGTGTTCACTTTCCCATTGTTTCCTTCTCTCTCCTCAGATCTTGACTTCTGGGTCTGCTGCTTTGCCTGCCTGCCTGCCCTTGTTCCCCATTCCCTGCTCCTCTCTAGTTATACCTAGTGTTGGTCACTTAATTCTGCCACACATGCTCATGGTTAAAGAAAAAGTACTCAGATTATGGGGGGACTTCAAAGCATTGGTAGAAAAATGGAGTTAAGGAGCCGGCAGGTGGTATGGTTGAGTGCTGGACTCTCACGTGGCTGACCGCAGTTCAAATCCCTGACCTGGCAGCTTGCTTTCTCACATTCTCTCTCTTGCTCGCTCTCTTACTCTCTCTCCCCTCTCTTGCTCTGTCCCTCTCTGATCGAATTTTAAAATAAATAAATAAAGGTAAATAAAAAATAATTTTTAAAAATGGAGGTAAAATACGAGTTTTTTTTTGGTGCAAAAAAATTTTGGATGAATGTGGTTATTTCATAAAATGTGTTTTCGTGAGCTATTTGAGGACCCTCTGTGTCCTCGTATACTAGAGTTATCAACAAGTATCCGTAAGGGAAACAGCATGGTTGAGGAAGAGTTACTTGGTTAGTTCGCTGTTAATAAAAACATCATTGCAACCCCAAAACTTTTTCCTTTTTAAAGGGCTTTGTGCTCATTCTTTGTAAATGCCCATTAGAAGAGAGACTTGGGGGTTCTTTGCACTCCCCTGGTCTGTCCTTACTCAAGGTCAGAGATGGGATGAGAAAGTTGATGAGAATGACCTCTCAGCAGTGTTCTCTTTCTCGGTCCCCTCAAGCATGGGTCAGCAGTGACTAAGGCCCATGGCAGATCCAGCCACTGCCTGTTTGTATAAATAAAGTTTTGTTGGGATACAGCCCTGTTCATTCGGCCCAGTGTCCTCTACAACAGCAAAGTTGAGTGGTTGTGACAAATTATATGCCCGGAAAGCTGAAAATACTCTCTACCCCTTATTAAAAAAAAAAAAAAAAAAGTGTTGACACTTGCCCTAGAGAATGCCACCCTTGTGTATGTTGGGGTGATGAAGATGGCTTGGGGTTGCTGCTCCAGAATGTTTGGGCTCGGAAACTCCATTGAGTAGAAGCCTTTCTTGACTTGTCTCTGGTACCTGTGTTGCCCCGAGCTACTTCTAAGTGTGGTGGGCGCATACAGGGGTAGCTTGTCACCTCTCCCCCGGGACTCTTACCAAGAGCAATTCCGTCACTACCACAAACAAACTGATCTCCACATTCTGGAATTATTTGTAAATGTCTGCAAAGTAGTGGAGGAAAAGGCTTTCTTATCTGCTCACTGCTGCCATCTGGGTTGGGAAATCATTGACCTTTTATCAAGTTCTTGAAGAACCTGTCGATAGAGTTAAAATAGTTTAGGAGAGTTGAGATAAGTTCATAATCAATTGGTATGTTTCCAGATTTAGACCTAAAACTCAGCATGACCAAGAAATAGAACTTGTTGCTCCATTTTGGACATTGAAATCAATGTGCTTTATGAGGATACATTTTTATTCATATGTGTAAATACCTCTCTATAATACCTCTCTATAAGTTCACTTGCACAGCCAGTCCCAATCAGTGTATGACACAGAAGATGACAGCTTCATCCAAGCCAGCCGGTGGCATGGCAGTTAAAGTGGACCCACATGGCCAATAGCACAGCTTAGGTCTGCACCCAGTGGCTTGAAAATCACACCGGGCTTGTGTGTGCGTGCCTAAATTCCCAAGAGGAGAATGGAGGAGAGGGATTACAGGATGACCATCCCCCCAGGGATGATTACTTTCTCCAGCAAGTGCACACACCCCTATAGTAAATTGTTTAAAAAATAAAACAAGGATACCAGCGATTGGTGTAATGCTTATGTCGCTGGACTCTCATGTAGTTGACTGCAGTTCAAGTCCCAGATCCGGTGGCTTAGACTCGCTGGGTGTGTATGTGTGCATGCCCAAGATCCCAAGAGGAGAATGGAGGAGAAGGGATTGTGGCGTGGCCATCCCCCCCTGGGGGGGGGTGATTTCTCGCTTTCTATCTCTCTGTCTCTGGTAAGTGCACACCCCCTATAGCAAAAAAACAAACAAACAAAAAACCTCTCTCCAAATGAAAATAAATAAGTAAAACAAGCTTCATCCAGAAAGACGAGATTCTTTTCCAAACTGGCCTAGCTTTCAAGTAAGCCTTTGCTGCCTGCAGAGTCTAATTGCTTCAGGTATAGGCAGGATGACCACACATCTGTTCACAGAGCTGAGGTGAAAAGACCGCTTTGAACAAGATTTATCGTTTTAAACAGCCTTTGTCATTTTCTCTTAATCGTGCTCTTCACCTTCCATGGTAAGAGCTTCCTAGGCAAACAGTGGTTGGGTTCTGCTTGCAGGTCGGCAGCCTGGACTGAATAAGTCTTCCCACAATGCAGAGCGATTCAGCCTGAGAACTTGCGCAGGCCAGTCTTCACCATTCCGGCCCACAGAGCTGAGTTCCAGGGATGCCCTGGGATGCAGGGTGCTTTCCATCCTTGAGAAGACTTGCAGTGAAGGCCCCATCCTGGAAGGCGCAGTCTTGGGCATAGCTGGCCATGACATTCTTGCAATCCACATGGTTAGGTGGGCTAATCCTAGTGCTGTCTGCTTAGTTTAACCTTGAGTAGTCCTGAAATCTTACGTTTACTGCAGAAAGCATATTTTTACTAATGCCCATTAAGTATTTTGCTATTAAAAATAAAGGCATTTAGTTGAATTATTTATTAGGCTGTTTTCCATTTTATGTGGAACTTGCATATTTCTTCACTCTTTGAAATAAAAATAAATAATATTTTTTACAATAGAAAATAAGCTGGAACCAGCAGTTAGTGTAATGGCCATGTCACTGGACTCCCATGTAGTCGACTGCAGTTCGAGTCCCAGACCCAGTGGCTTAAAATTACGCCTGGCATGTGTGCATGTGTTCCCAAGATCCCAAGAGGCCTCTGAGTGGAGGAGAAGGGATTGCGGCGTGGCCATCCCCCCTGGGGGTGATTTCTTGCTTTCTGTTTCTCTGTCTGTCTCTGTCTTTCTGGTGAGCGCACATGCCCTATAGCAAAAACCTCTCAAAGAAAAAAGAAAATAAGCCATTGAGCTGGTTATTTTTCTCACAGAACCTCACCTGTGGAATAGATGAGTGTGTCTCTGGACACTTTATTCAGTTTACTGGAGCCTCCTTCATCTGACCTATAAGTAAGGGGCAATCATTATACCTACCTTGCAGAGATTTGGTGAGATTAGAAGTCTTGCACCAGCAAGGTCTGACATAGTTGGAACTTAATAGCTGTTTTAAAGCCTCTCATGGCATCCTGCTACATGCAGATGTTCCTCCATTTAGAATAAGATTACATCCCAATCCGTGTTTTAAGTTGAAAATATAGTAAGTTGAAAATGTGGAGGACAGCTGGTGGCATGGTGGTTAGAACAGCTGGGCCCCACATAGCTGGCTGCATGGCTTGAATCCCAGATCCAATGGCTTGGAGAATACTCCAACTATATGTGCTTGCCCAAAATCTCAAGAGGAAAATGGAAGAGAAGGGATTATGGTATGGCCATCCTTCCAGGGGGGTGCTTTCTCACACCCCTCCCCCTCCCATCTCTTTCCGGTGAGTGCATGTGCCCTGTAGTAAATTTAAAAAAAAAATGTGGGCTCCATGGTCTAGTGGTTGAGACAGCCACATCCCACATGGCCAACGACATGGCTTAGAGTTTAGACCTGATGACGAGAAATATGCCAGGCACTCGTGGGTGCATGCCCAAAGTCCCAAAAGGGGGGAGAGATGGAGGACTAGGGATTGTAACGTGACCATTCCCCGTGGGGAGTGCTTTCTTCTCTCCCTCCGTTTCCAACAAGCACACATGCTCTTTAGCACACAGAAAAGGCTAATGGTGCCTATCCCATAATCTAGTGGTTAAAGAAGCCAGATCCCAGATCCTGACCCAATGTCAAAAAACAGGGTGCATGTGTGTGCATGTCCCAAATCTCAACAGGATGGAAAAGAGATTGTGGTGTGACTTCACCCCATTGGGACACTTTCTCTCTGTCTCTAGCAAGTATATGCACACTTTGGCAAGAGGAAAAAGAAAGAAAATGCGTGTGCCAATTACACCAGAGCTCAGCCTCACCTGCTGTATACGTGCTCGGGACACTAACATGAGCCCGTAATTGGGCCAAACCCTCTGACAACACAGTACACTGGAGCATGTCAGCTTGTGGTTGTGGGGCTGCCGGCGCCCAGCATCACAGTAATGTTACAGAGCACATGGTGACCCTGGGAAACAAGGAGAATTGGAAGTACAGTTTCTACTGAATGTGTATCACTCTCCCGCCATCGTATAGTCAAAACCCAAGTCAGATCATCGCAAAGGGGCCATCTGTACAAATTCCTAATTTAAACGCCCCACGACAGTCCACACTTAAATGCAGCTAATGTAGGGGCTGGCTTTGTGCCAAGTGCCATGCAGGGTTCTCTCTGATCTTTCATGTCCTCGCAACAGCCTGGCGACATGAGCTGTTTCTCCAAGATAGGGGTACAGACTGAAAGTAAATTATGTATGTAACTATATGCTGTTTGTCAGATAATAGCTGAGAGTAGGTGGCCTTCAGGCCCCCAAATCTGACTCCTGGACCCCTAATCCTCCAGCTCCAGGCAGCCATGTCCTCTCCTAGGTCAAGCATGGGGGCTGGTCCTACCTCGCCTCTTGGACTGTTGCTTTCCTGTTTCTCCAAAGGCTCAGTTTAACCGCCACCCTTATTTCCCAGTGGACTAAATTGCACTGATGTTCGGCTTATAATATGATGGCACAGATAGTGTGTAACGGTGAATGTCCCGTGTGGCTGCCTCCCCTCCCCAGGATAAGCCTTTTTGTACCATCTACTGCCCCATAATACCCCACACATAAAGCACAGAATATATTTTTCAACTTACATAAGCCATACAGGGAAGCAGCTGTCATGCTAAAGAAAACCGTTTGATTTAATTGCCAGTTTATAGCAGCCGTTGAGGCCATATGCACAAGAACTGCCACGTGCAACCCAGGACTGTCCAGAGGAGTGCAGGAACTGAGCAGAGTGTCGATCGAGGATCTCCCTCCCATATACCCGCGCTTTGGGATTTACAGTACATTTTGCTTGCCCGTCTGGATAATCCAGTCCTGCAGCAGTCAGTCTGCCGGTTGTATTTTTAGCAGCTCGTTCACTTTGAGGATGAGAGAAAATAAATTTGCACCCAGCAGGCTATATCTATGCACCCTGTCCTGGCTTCCAGTGGGCTCACTCTGGAGCACTGGGCACAAAGGGTCCTATGGTGGCCCGTTGAGTAGCTTCACTAGGAGGTCTTCTGGTTCCCCAGATCGTGGGTTAGTCCTCGATAAGTTCTACCAGTTGAGCTCCTGCACTTAGGACCTGTTTTTTGACACTAGAAGAGAAAACAGGCCAGCAGGTGGCGTAGTGGTTAAGATACTGGACTCCCGCGTGGTCCTGGTGTCTTGAAACTCATACCAGGCAATTGTACTTGCATGCCCAAAATCCCCGGACAAGAATGGGGGAAAAGTGATTGGCTGGGCCATTCCCCCCCCCCCGGGGGTGTGATTTCTCTTTCTGTCTCTCTCTCTCTCCCACAAGTGCACAGGCCCTATGGCAAAAATGTCTCTTAAAAAAAAAAAAAAAAAAAGAGAAAACAATTGCATAACTTTTCTGTAAGTTCAGATCTTATGACAAAAAAATCCTAAATTGTTTCAGGACCACAGGAGATAATTAGCTGGCTTCCTAAGGAATTTAATGGATTCTGCTCATAAATGAAGCTTATTTTAGGCTTAGGCACTTGAGATTCAAGCCCGGAGTCGTAATCCCATAGGATTTGGCTCTGGCCTTTCAAAGTCCCATAAAATTGAATGCACAAGAAAGTCAAAGGTCCTATCTCTCTTTACTTGTCATCTTTATATATTCTCTTGCAGAAATGAGAAATCAGCTCAGGACGATTTAGAAGCTAACCCATGAAGCTAAAAATAGCAAAAAAGCAAACTACGGCTCTGCATTCCCTCCCTTTCTAAACTCTGCTCCTCTCCCCAGTCTAAAGGACGTTATGTATAAATAACTTGGCCAGCCGTTAGTAGGCAGCAAAATAGGAAACAAGATGTTTAACTTGTTAGCCCTTTAAAGAACAAGTCTTATCTGGTGACAGATGCCAATAGGATTAGGTTGTGGCAGACTTCACACTTTGTAACATTTGGCTTACCAGCACCCTGCCCCCCGCCACACACACACCATTCCCTTAATTCACACTCCCTGACTCCAGTACCATTTTCCATTTTCTCATCTGTTGCAGGGAACGTCACACTCCCCTAACCTCTGGCCCTCTCCCCTGCCAGCCCTGAGCAGGACAAAGCACTAGCACAGCTCCTCCCCTTGCACCCACATAGCACAGGCCCTGCTCCGAGCTGGGCAGGACAGCAGGTGCTCCTGGTGCCTCACCTGTCCATGGCGACTCGGGCACTTTGAAGGGGTCATGTGAGCCTCCAGGGCAGAAGCAGGAGGTACGGAATCTGGTGGCTGGTTGACAAGCTGCAGATAGAGCGAGATCACGAGGAAATACCTGCTGCAGAAACTCCGTGCAGACAGGACGGACGGCTTTACATGAGGCCAAGGCACAGGGAAACGGTTCCCAGATGCCTTTCTTTGCAGTTTCAGTTACCAGCCAGACCTTCTGGTGGAAGTTAGAAATGGGCTTGTACTTGGGACCAGTAGTTGGCATAATGGCTTTGTTGCTGAACTCCTACATAGTAGACTGTGGTTCGAGTCCCGGACCCGGTGGCTTACACTCATGCCGGGCGTGTGTGCTTGCGTGCCTAAGATCCCGAGAGGAGAATGGAGGAGAAGGGATTGCAGTGTGGCCATCCCCCCTGGGGGGTGATTTCTCCTGTTCTGTCTCTCTTTCTGGCGAGTGCATGTGCCCTATAGCAAAAACCTCTCCCCCCAAAAAAGAAATGGGCTTGTACATTCTCATGGTCCTACAGATGCTTCCCCCTCCTACCAGAGGCCCCACTCGGAACCAGCAGGGGCCCCCTTCTTCCCTGCCGTGGCCCTCCCAGCCTCCCTCGCGCAGCTTCCACCCTCCTGTTTGGCCTCTGTCACACTGAAATGGTAGCTCCTCACTCAGCCAGGCCAGGGGCACAGGCTTTGTCAGTAAGCCAAATAGTAAATATTTTAGACTCTACAGGCTGTCAGTCCCTCGCAGCCACTCACCTCTGCCATCGTAGCTGGAGGAAAGCCCAGGCCACACGGCAGTGATGCGCTGGGCCCTGCTCCAACCAAACCTTCGGAGTACTGGGGTTGTCGTTTCCCATGTCATAAGATATTGTTTTGATTCCCCCCAACCTCTTCATCATTCTTAGCTCCCCAGCTGTGCAAAGGCAGGCAGTGTGCTGACCCCCGATGCTGGTGCGTGGCGGTGCTTGGTATCTGCCGGGAGAGCGTGTACTTCCATAGGGACCAGGCAGGGGTGGCCCTAGTGTAGAAGCTCAACCTCAGACCACAAGTCCTGAGCTGGGTGCCGTTCTCTCTTTTATTTTTTTAGATTGTTGCCATAGGATGTGTGCACTCACCAAAGAGACAGAGACAGTAAGACGGAAAGAGAAAAATCACTCCCCACAGGGGGTGGCCATCGTTCAAGCCCATGTTCTCCATTTCCTCTCAGGATTTTGGGCATACACCTGATGTGATTCTCAAGCTGCCTGGTCCAGGACTCGAACCCCAGTCGGCCATGTGGGAGTCCAGTACCTTAACTGCCTGCTGGCTCCAAAGATGCCACTTTTTTTTTTTTTTTTGAGAGATTTTTGTTTTAGGGTGCATGTGCTCACCAGAGAGAGACAGAAACCAAAAATTCACTCCCCAGGGGTATGGCCACACTGAAATACCTTCTCCTTCATCCCCCTCTCAGGACTCTGGGCACGTATACACCCATGCCCAGCGTGAATTTTAAGCTGCCAGGTCTGGGACTTGAACTGCGATCGACTATGTGGGAGTCAGCAACATAACCATTACGCTGTCTGCTGGTTCTGCCACTCTTTTAACAAAAGCCCTGCCTATGTTAGGTTACTAAGCAGGAGGACCTCAGGCTGATGAACCCACGTCCTGTGGAAGCAGGGATTGCAGAGGATGCAGGAGACTGGGGAGATAAAGCCACATCCGGGTGCCCTCCGTGTGCAATGGCATTGTCTTCACAGGATCGGTGCCCTGAGCAGGTCATGCAGCAAGTGAGGGCCCTTGGGATCAGAGCCATGCTGGGGAAGCAGTGAGAGTGTGGAGTGGAAAAGGGAGGCGCGGGCCCTGCCTGCCTTCACTCACCTTCACGTGACTCGGGTTGAATAACAGATTCATCTTGGGACTACAGGAAGTGTGGAGAGAGGTGATTACAACCTGGCTCCTCCCTCCTCTCCCCTCACTAACAGACTTTCTGTTTCAGAACCGCCAGAGGAAGGAGCCCTCACCCTGGTCGGGGGGGCGGGGGGAATTGCAGAGGATGGGGGAGAGGGTCATAGATATTTTCATGTGTGTCTCTCGAGTCTGCAAAGGGGTCCATAAAGGGATGGGTTAGAGCTCAGTACAGCCAGAGGCAGGTGTCTCGGGGTCCTGCAGCAGCCCGAAAAAAACAGTGTGGCAGAGGCTTGCAGACCGTGGCCAGTGAAGGGACGGAAGGGTCTGGATCTCAAAGCCTAGGCCCCGTTCTCCAGTGGGAGTCGCTAATCCAGTGACCACACTTACTGTGCAAAATGGCACCTGGGTCCCTTGGGGCAGAAGCCAACTAAGTAGTTGAGACACATTGTTCGTTGAACATGGCGGTATTTACACAGGGGGCCTGTTAGGGAGAGGAAACAGAGACTGCTTTAGCAAGAGAGAGGGGAACAGACTTAAAAGTTCCCTAGGGAGGGTGTGGGAGGTCCTAGGCTCTCCACCTCAAGGGAATATCAAGTCCTGTCCTCTCCTAGCGTCCCCAAGCACCCACTTCCAGCCAGGAGACAGAGATGGGGGAAAGGCAGCTCAGAATGTGCTATGCTGGGCATCAGCTGGCCAGGCCAGTAACAGGTCGGGTCGGAAGTGACACTGACACGTTTTGTGTCTTGGAGGACAGACAGGATGTGGACCATAATTTACTGCCCTCGACTTAGCTCTAGATGGTCCGGCCAGGAAGGAGGCTCCAATCCAACAGAGTCTCCTCTAGTATCCTTCTCCTGGCAGGGCCGAGATCTCAGTAAGAACCACAGAACCGTCGACAGGAGATGGGGAGGACTCCGGGACCCTGATTTGGAGCGGCAAACCTGCCTCCTGAGGTTGCTGGCAGCAGTGGGAGAGCTAGGGTGTGCTTCAGTGAAATTCAGCTCCCCCAACCCCCGTTTCCCAGGGGAGAGGAGCGGAGAAGAGAGCATGTGACCTGGGTTGTCCATGGGCCAGACCCTATACCAAGGGCTTTCTGTGACCAAGTAGCCCGTTCAAGGTCACATAGCCACAGATGCTAAAGGCAAGGTTTGAACCCAAGGCAGCCTGCCCCGAGGCCCACCATGCCCCACACCAGCATGACAGCAGTGGTTCCTAATGGAGCACGAGCCTCAGGAGAACTACCAGAGCCTCCTACGGAGTATGCCCTTCGCTGCTGTGGCGTCCCATCCTGATCCCCCGCAACCCCTCACAATCCCCTGCCTGTCAAGGCCTCACCGTCCTTGCAGAATCCTCGGTCATACCAAGGACAGTCCCAGGAGTTGAAAGCTGGCTTCACGTGGAGAAAGAGACACTCCTTATTGTTGCAGTCACCTGCAAAGTCCAGCGTTCTTTATGTAACGTGTGAGCAGATGTGACAGCCACGTCTGCCTCCCCTGCTGAGTCGACCTTGCCCCTGACACGCATACAAGCCTTTCTTCTGGTCTTCGCAGCTTTCAACACAGCACACACTGGGTATTTCTAATCCCTGCAATCTAAGGAGGGTGGAGCCCAGTAATAGTTACTAAGCAGGGCATGAGCGTGAACGTGAGCGTCTGGAAGAGTTGGGGCAGGGCACACATCCAGAAGGAAGCCCTGGACCTGGGGCATTAAGAGGCTCCTAGTGAGGAAGGAGCAAGGAGTCCTGGAGCCGCAACCACGAGAAGACTTGGACCCAAAGAGGAGGCGTGACCGTGTGCTGTGGCCAGCACCTCTCTTCACCTCTGCTGGGAAACTCGCACTGCCTCCAGCACCCAGGGAGCGGTTCCTCCCGAGGAAATGCTAAGCATGGCAGAGCTGGCACGTGGATGAAAGCCGTTGCTATGCAGAGCGTTACCCGTAGTTACACTAAACCTGGGCTGTAATCTGTCTGCAGATTAGACCAAGTCCCGTGCTTAGCTCCTAAGAGGAGCCAGCTCTGTGGGCAGAGGCTACCCAGAGTCCTTTAAGGAGCTCTCATGGGTTTCTCTTGGGAAGGAAGATCTGAAGAAGCTGAGAGGAAGACCCAGCCACTTTCACCTCATTCAAGTCAAGAATTGTGAATGCTGGCCCAGCGCCATGGTGTATGGTGCTAAGACGCTGTGCTCTGTGGGCCGGGACTACATGGGAGCCCCAGGTTCAATCCCTGGCTCACTAAACCGCATAGCAACACCCTGTCTGGAAAGATTTGCAAAAAGTGAATATTTTCCATTTCATCTTCCTTTAAAAGCCTATAATTCAGGGACCAGCAGTTGGCATAATTGTTACATCTCTGAACTTCCCCATAGTCTACCATAGTTCAAGTCCCAGATCCAGCAGCTTAAAATTCACACTTGATGCATGTGCGTACATGGCCAAAATCCCAAGAGGAAAGTGGAGGAAAAGGGTTGCAGCATGGCCATCTCCCCAGAGGGTGATTTCTCACTGTCTGTCTCTCTGGTGAGTTCATGTGCCCTATAGCAAAAATCTCTCTTAAAAAAAAAAAAAAAAAAGTCTAGGAACCAGCGGTTAGCATAATGTCTATGTCTCTGGACTCCCATGTGGTCGACCGCAGTTCAGTTCCTGGACCCGGTGGCTTAAACTCACACCGGGCATCGTGCGTGCCCAAGATCCCGAGAGGAGAAAGGAGGAGAAGGGATTGCAGCGTGGCCATTCCCCCTAGGGGGTGATTTCTCGCTTTCTGTCTCTGTCTTTCTGGCAAGTGCACACGCCCTATAGCAAAAACCTCTCCAAAAAGTCTGTAATTCAGGGAGCCAGCAGATGGCATAGTGGTGACATCATTGGATTTCCACATAGCCAACCCTGTTTCAGGTCCTGGAAGCAGTGGCTTGATAATCATGCCAGGTGTGTGTGCATGGGTGCCCAAGATCCCAGGAGGAGAGTGGAAGAGAAAGGACTGTGGCATGGCCATCCTCCCAGGGGGTGATATCTCACTTTCCTTCCTACTGTCTCTCTCTCTCTCTCCAGTGAATGCACACAGCCTATGGCAAAAACTTCGCTCACTTGAGAGAGAGAGAGAGAGAGAGAGAAAGGCTACAATTCAATGCTTTCCAGAGCTGAAGGCAACCTGTACTCCATTGCTTTTCCATCACCTTCGGAGAGAGCCATTTTACATGTTGGACTTTTCAAAGTGAAGTTTCACCCAAAGAAGAGTAGCCCTGTTTCCTTCGAGTTCGAAACCGCCATCCTGTCCCAGCCAGGTGACGAGGCCAGGGGGGACTGTCACATCCATGTTCACCTGGTTGTCTCCTAGCCAGCTCATTTGCTCACCGTCAGTGTACAGCACTTGGAGGAATACTGGCCCTGGGCTTGAGCCTTCAAGGGATTCCAAGTGACATCGCTCCCTAGGCCGGTCCACCTGGGATGGTGACACTGGGAAGTCCTTTCTGCTGTAGGTATTGCTTTCCTGCCCCAGCCTGGTGCACGTCTCCACATTCCTCTCCTGACCAGCAGGTGGCAGCAGCACCTCAGCCTCCGGTCTGCCTTTCACAGACACCCAAGTGCCCTGTTGATCAGATGTCCCAGAAGGGCCTGAGACCCTGGACATCCTGGCCCCACTGGACTGCCCCTTGCCACTCCCACACCTCCCAACAATATTTTAAAAATTAAACAACTTACGTTGTGAGATTGATTAGATGATAATTACTTCGATACAATATTAGAGATAAATGTATGCGTTTGCTATAAGAACAAAATGTAGCTACTGCAATAATCATGGCAGACATGTCTGTCCCCATGAACTGGAACCATCTGAAGGCAAAAGAGGACCTGGACCTAGCCCTGAATCCATGCCCAGTGCAGTGTCTCATCCCCAGCCGGGGAAACTGAGGAACAGGTAAGTAAATGGCATTTAAGTTCCAAGGAGAACTGGGCTCCAGATAAGCGTTGTCCTTTCCGTCATCAGGGAAGGCATGCGGGCAGCCTGGTAAACTGCCAGGGCCCTCCCAGGAGCAGGCCAGAACTGGAATGTGGGCCCTGGAGGGGCTCTCCTAGCCAGGGGTGCTCTGCCCCCTCTGGATACCCAGGAGAAGCAGCTGCCTGCCGTGGGGAAAGGGGCACGGCGGCTCTGAAGCTAGCCCGAGCCTCTTAAGTCAGGGTGTCTGTGGGGGTTCTTCTCTTTGAAAGTCACTCTTGGGACACAGTTTGAAAAATCACCAAACTAGATCATCCTTCCGGCTGGGAAAAGCACTGAGCGTAGAATTTCACTGAGAAGGCCGAGACCTGAAGCACATTCACAGAGTGCACTTGCTAGAGAGACAGAAAGTGAGAAATCACCCCCCTGGGGGAATGGCCACACCACAATCCATTCCCTTCCACGCTCTTCTAGGGATCTTGGGCATGCACACTGGGTCTGGTACTCGAACCTCGGTCAACTACGTGGGAGCCCAGCGACATAACTACTATGCCAGCTACTGGTCCCGCAGATGCTATTCTCAAAGAGGTGGAAAGTGGCTGCGACTTCCCCCTAAACAGCACCTCTGATGACAAAAGGAGTGAGGGCAGAAGGGGTGTAAGACGCTCCTCCAGATCTGACCACACAAGATGATTTCAGGGTCTAGGCTTCTCACCCTCCTGGTTTCCTGTTTACAGCCGCCTTTTATCGCCAGCAAACAATGAGAGGTTTCCATTTATGGAAGCACTGCAAAGTTTTCTTTTAAAATAAGAGTTAAAAGTAGCCAGGCCATTGGAGGATTGGGCGAGGTGCAGGACCTCCCGGGCATGACCAGCACAGTGAGCGTGGCTCTCAACTGCCTGACATTCGAGAAGCGCTGCCCCGGGCCCACCCAGCACTGAGGGCTGGCACAGACTAATTTCCTGACAGCCAGTCTGGGGGGTGGGGGGGCGTGACTAGCCAGGATTGGGGAGGGGAGACAAGCAAATCCTTTCCTTTTGGAGGTAACTGGCTGTGCCTGAGCCTGGTGGAGTGTGACGGGCCAGAGTCACAGGATGGTGGGTGCAACTATACTTCAGGGGGTTGGAACGGCTGCTGGGACATCCCCGGCCGGCATTACCGAACTTGGAGTAGAAGTAGCACACGGGCATCCTGGTGGCGTCGTACTGGTGCAGGAACTTGCAGTCATCACCCTTCTGGCACAGCCCCCGGAGCCAGTGCTTGCACACCACGGTCCGCTCCCCTCGGTCGTGTCGCAGCGGGCACAGCCTCCCTTGGAGATGCCAGAGCACCAGCCCTCAGCTGCCCGCCTCAGCCCCTTCACGGGGAGTCTCGTAGGAGGTATGCCAGGGGCAGAGGCACCATGAGGGCAAGCGGTGTCTGTTCCCACCACCCCACCTTTGCCCAGGTGTCCCCTCGGCCCCATGTGCCCATGCCCTCTGAGAAGAAGCCTCTGCACTCCAAAGAGTTGCCTGCCTTGGGCTCCCATGGCCCATCATCCCTTCTCCTCCTACCAAAGAGCAGGGCCGGGTTCCCAGCCAGGGATAGCCCAACCCCTGGCATGTAGTAAGTACTCAGACAGCAAGTCAAAGCCAAGTCTTAAAAAAAAACCAAAAACAACGGGACCAGCAGTTGGTGTCATAGCTATGTCGCTGGCTTCCCATGTAGTCGACCATGGTTCGAGTCCCAGACCTGGTGGCTTAAACTCACAGGCGCGTGTGCATGTGTGCCCAAGATCCTGAGAGAATAGAGGGGAAGGGACTGTGGCGTGGCCATTCTCCCTAGGGGGTGATTTCTCACTTTCTGTCTCTCTGTCTCCCTCTGTCTTTCTGGCAAGCGCACGCGCCCTGTAGCAAAAACTCCTTAAAACAACAACAGAACGGGGTAGCAGCACGGCAGTGAAGCGCCTCTCTCTAAGGCAGTCCTGCGTGGGGTGAGCCTGGTTCAAGTCTGGGGATTTCCTGAGTACGGCCGGCTTACACTTGCCCATGACTGGGCTGTCTGGGGTTGAACAGGGTGTCAAGACCCTGCGGGTGCTGCTCTCTATCTCTCTCGCTTTGTCACCCACAGAAGAAATAAACAAACTTAAGCGGCTGGAATCCATGTGGCTGACAGCACTGTTCCAGTCCTGGACCCGTCGGCTTGAAAAACACGCTCTGTGTGTGTGTCTGTGTGTGTGTGTGTATGTGTGTGTGTATGTGTGTATGTGTAAGTGTGTGCATGTGTATGTGTGTGCGCATGTGTGTGTGCGTATGTGTATGTATGTGTACACACATGCCCAAAAACCTGAAAGGAGGGAGAGAGGAGAAGGGATTGCAGTGACTGCCCCATGGGGAGTGCCTTTCTCTGTCTCTCTCCAGCAAGTGTGTATGTCCTCTGGAAAGGGAAAAACAAAAAGACAAAAACAACCTACAGTAAAAAGGCCCAAATGGTGCACATCCCGTTCCAGAGACCTAACTGAACAGAAGAGACAACACCGTAACAATTTCGGAGGAAATGTATCAGCTATTTGGCCTCCTCCATTCAGATCTGCATTGCTCTCAGTCGGAAGGACACCCTCTTCCCTGAGTAACTTTTCATGGCCAACCTCTGATAGACCTGGGGGGTGTCAAGGGAGGTGGGGGGTGTCAGGGTTTCCCTGACTACTTCTGCTCTCTACCCTGGGTGGCAGAAACAACTGTATTTTTTTGCAAGAGGCTGTAGCTGTGGAGCTCTGCTCCACAGCCCGCATGGACTGAGCAGAGGGGACAGCCCCAATCCACAATGGGGCCTGGAGGGTCCGAGCTGCACAAAGCCTCCTGTGACCGCTGAGCTCATCCCACCTTGTCCCCCAGAGCTGCTCTCAAACGTGGCCCATGTCCTCCCTGCTTGGGCCCCTCCACCCCTAGCTTCTAGGGACAGAACCGTTTGGATCCTGAGCAGGTCCTAAACTCGCTGGCACCAGCGAGGCTTCTGAAGGTCTAGAGACAGGCGAGGAGGGCCGGGCACCCCTAACCGTGTATCTCTAGGGTAAGAGCCTCCAAGTGGCCCAGGACGGAACAGCAGAGAACCTCTGTTTGAGCCAAGCCTCGCCAGAGTGGCTGCATCCGGGGAGAGGGACTTAGATGAGGGTATCGTTTGATCCAAAGTTAGGGGTGAGAGAGAGGTAGGGGATGCTTTCTGGAAGCATTTTAGAGACGGTCAGAGTATCCCAGCATAAAAATGGAGGGACATTTGCCCAGTTTCCATATTTAAAGATGGGGGCTTGGGGGGGAGGGGGTTAAAAATCTCCTGGCTGGGAGAAAAATAGGATAGAGTGGGACCAGCAGATGGCATAATGGTTACATCACTGGACTCCGCACTTTAGTAGACTACAGTTCAAGTCCCGGACCCGGCGGCTTAAAACTCACTGGGAACAAGTGCATGCCCAAAATCCTGAGAGGAGAATAGAGGAGAAGGGCTTGCAGTGTGGCCATCCCCCGGGGAGTGATTTCTCACTTTCTATCTCTCTGTCTCTCTCTCCAGTGAGTGCACACACCCTATAGCAAAAATCTCTCTTAAAAAAATAATAATAGGAGAGATCAAGAGGCCTGGAGCCTCCTGGCAACACAAGCCAAAACTCACAGGCACCCCCAACGCCCTCAAGGCAGGAAGAAAGCCAGGGCAACCCCAGTGCTTTTGTGTGGACCTCCCCCAGAAGCTCATGTGGGACTTGTTTGTATCCTCAAGGTGTTTAGTGAAAGCTTAATCCAGTCAGTCATGGTGGCCAGGGTGGGACCCTTGGGGGTGACAAGGTCATTCGAGTGGAGCCCCCAGGATTGGTTCAGAGGGAAGGAGACAGAAGGAGAGAGAGTGCCACACAGGCACCAACCACGCCCTCCACACGCCCACCATCCTCTGCTTCTGCCGGTGACACTGTGACATAGCTGGCCCCATGCCAGCCCTGTGCCTTGGACTTCCCAGCCTCCAGGAACAGGAGTTGAATAAACCAGTTTAACAGTGTCCAAGTCTCAGGGCCTTCTGTCCATAACGGACGAAGACGCTTGGTTTTCTTACCAATGCTGCTGAGAGGGAGATTGGCGGGGGGGCTCCTTGACAGCCCCCCAGTCCTGCTCCATCCCCACTCCCCCCCCCTCGTACAAAGTAGGCACTCTTTGTCAGACTGAGCAGAACCCCACGGAGCCCAGAGTGACCCAGAAAGCCCCTGCTTGTGCCCAGCCCAGGCCTGCCCATAAACTCACCTTTCTCACAGAGCCCTTTAGCGAAGAAGTTACACACAGCTGAGCCCAACTCTGCAAGGGGACAGGGAGAGGGGGAGGCAGCTTCCCCAGAGTCTGTTCTATCCAGAGGGCCTGCACCCACCCCCAACCCCGCCCCACCAGCGAGTCCACCTAAACCCCCAGCTCTAAAACCAAGCAGAGGACTTAGTGCCATGGAGAGGACTTAGCACCAGCTGAGGGCCCAGTAAACGGGCCACCAAGTAGAGATGGGCAGAGGGACGGGGCCACCCCACAGAGGAGCTGAGCAGAGGGACTGCGTCCCCCCTCCTCACTCACTGTCCATTCCCTGGAAGGGCAGGAGCCCAGTGCCCTTTTGCATCTCGACATCCTTCTCAAAGTCGAAGGTGAGCTGTTCCAGCCCGGCAATGACCTCCTGCATCTTCCCATCTCCTGCTGGGGCTGGCGGAGCGCGTCACGCAGGTGGTCCCTATATAGCTCAGCAGAGGCCCTTAAGGGGCCAGAATCTGATGCTCCTCCCAGGATGAGTAGCAGTGGCCACAGTGGCTAAGGCACTGGGCTCCCACATGGTTGACCCTGGTTTGAGTCCCAAACTTGGTGGCTTGAAAATCATGCTGGGTGCATGTACATATGTGCCCAAAGCCTCAGGAGGAGGATGGAGGAGAAGGGATTGTGGCATGCCATCCCTCCTGGGTGGTGATTTTTCACTTTCTTTCTCACTGTCTCTCTCTGGCAAATGCACATGCCCTTTGGCAAAAATCTTCTTAAAAAGTAGGGCTCAGGGGACCAGCAGTTAGTGTAATGGCTATGTCGCTGGACTCCCATGTAGTCGACCGCGGGTCACGTCCTGGACTCGATGGCTTAAAACTCACGCTGGGTGCGTGTGCATGCGTGCCCAAGATCCCGAGAGGAAAATGGAGGAGAAGGGATTGCGGCGTGGCCATCCCCCCTGGGGGGGTGATTTCTCGCTTTCTAGCTCTCTGTCTCTCTCTGTCTGTCTGGCGAGCGCACGCGCCCTATAGCAAAAACCTCTCAAAAAAAAAAAAAAAAAGTGGGGCTCAGCTGCTTTCCGCCTCCCACCTGATGCAGGTGCACATGCCCCAGGGTCCCTCACCCCCACACTGTGTACATAAATCCCACGCGGGTGGGTAGGGATTAACGAAGACCCACACACTGTTTATCTGTGTGTTATCAAACACGCCCGGGTATACACAGACCTTCCCAAACCTGTGTTCATACTTTATACATGAGGACGCGGCTGCAGGTTGGCAAATGGAGAGTTGAACAAACCAGCTACAGCACAGTCCTGGGGCCGGGGCTGTGGCGTCAGGGTAGGGGTGCAGAGAGAGCGTCCTCCCATCCCCTTCTCCCCATGAGGTCCCCGCCAAGTCCTCCCTTTGGGACCCCTGACACACCTTTTCTGGCCTGATTGACAAGCCCAGAGAGAGCACTTCATGGGAGAGGGAAAAGGAATGAAGTCCGAGGACTGAGGCAGGATGAATGGCGCTTTGTTTACCACATTCACAGGCTTGGCTGGAGGGTGGAACCAAGCCTGCCTGCCAGCAGGGGCTCCCCGCCAGGGTTCCAGAGGGCCACCCCTGAGAAAGTGTTCTGTAAAGGAAAGCTCCGTGCAAACATTGTTTTATTATTACTACCCTGCCCTGCCTGCTGGCTGGGGCAGCTGACAATGCTGTCAAAGGAGCATTTTAGGGTTCCCTCCAGACCAGGCTCCCCTCCCGTGCTCTGGCCGGAGCTGGCCCTGCCTTGGATCAGAGTTGCAGCTTTCAGAGTGGCCTTGATGCCCACAAAACCAGAAGGGAAACGCCCTCCTTGCTGGGCGCCCAACCGCGCAGCGGGAGGTGGGCACCACCCTGTGGGCCCTGTTGGGCCGAAGCAAACGAACCTGCTGGCTCTTCTTGCCCATGGCTGTCGCTCCTGGGTTTGTTGTTCTTTTGAACTCCAGAACAGAACAGAAAATAGCTGGCAGGGGTGGGCCTGGGTGGGGCAGGGATAGGGTCTGGGAGTGCAGAGGCCGGGGCCTCTTCTGACCACAGTCTGAGGAAGCAGAGGCCGGACTCCAGGGCTGGCCAGGGAGTAAGAGGGGGAGAGAGGAGTTGGCAAGGGCCCCCCTCCCCGTGCTGTTGCTTCTCCTGCCTTACTTGCGTGCTTTGGTGGTAGTGACAGTCCTCTGTCAACACAGGCTCCCTTAGGGCTCACACCAGACTGCCACGCTGGACAGAGGAGGAAGTCCAGGCCAGGGGGCCAGGGGGCCAGGACATGGGGCTGGCTCTGTGGTCATGGTGGAAGTCGAAGCCAAGGAGTCCCTTCCATGAACATCCCTGAACATCTGTTCAGTAGATACCATGGACGCTGGGCTGGCAATGCAGGAAGGAGTGACAGAGAGACCTCTCAGAGGACAGTCCTGCCACGAGAGGGAGAATGTTCCAGAAGAAGGACCAGTCGTATGAAGGCGGGAGGCACTGAGTGGCGTGCAAGCTGAGGGGACGGTCCAGGCTTGCTCTGACAGGAGCAGGGTGGGAGAGGTGGGTGGTGGGTGACAAGGCTGAAGGGCTTGGTAGGGAGGCAACCTGGAGGGCCCTGGACAGGCACCGGGCACTGGTTTTCCACCTCCAGAGCAGCGGGGGCCAGTGAGGGGCTCTGAGGGGAAGAGCAACCTGGAGAGCGGATTGAGAGGGAGAGATGGGGCAGGGAAGCCAGCAGGTGAGTAACAGGACAGTCGCTTGCCTGATGGTGCTGCTTTTGTCCTGGCCCATGAGCTCCTACCATGCAGCCTAGGGGGTTTCTGAGAGCAACTGTGAAGCCCCCAAGCTTGGGGAGTCTCACCTCATGTCTTTACTGCCTGAATACTTAGAACCCTGGGGACATAGCCAGAGGGGATTTCCCCTACCTTGGGGACCTGAGAGAGTTCCTCTATGAGGAGTGGGAGTGGAGGCCTCCAGTTGCACCTCTCTGGCCTTCCTCCAGCCTGGCAAGGCCCTGCCCCACCTGCACTGCCCAGCCTCTATGTGCCGGGCAGCGGAGGGCATGTGGTAGGTCATCCATGACTTCTCCCGCGGTCCCTCACAGTTTAGCACAGCAGCAATAGCACCTTGCATTCACGGCTTTTGTCCTCTTCCTCCTCCTCCTCCTCTTCTTCTTCTCTTACTTCTTCTTCCTTTTTGAGAGATTTTTGCTATAGGGCACATGCACTCACCAGAGAGACAGAGAGAGATAGAAAGCGAGAAATCACCCTCCAGGGGTGATGGCCATATTGCAATCCCTTCTCTGTTTTCCTCTCAGGATTTTGGGTGCTAGCCCATGTGCCTGGCTTACATTTTAAGCCGCCGAGTCCGGGACTTGAACCACAGTCAACTATGTGGGAGTCCAGCAATGTAACCATTATGCCATCTGCTAGTCCTCATGGCTTTTCTTCTTGAAATTGACCTGTCTCCCTGAGAAGTCCAAGTTCTCAGCCCTGGTACCTGCGAACATGGCCTTACTTGGAACTAGGGTCTTTGCCACTATAATTAAAGATCTCGAGATCATCTTAGAATTAGGGCAAGTCCTAACCCCAAGATCTGGTGTCCTTGCAAGAGCAAGGAGAGGGTGATTTGAGGCACACAGTCACGGAAGAGGCGCACAGAGAGGGCCGTGTGAAGACGGAGGTGGAGAGCGACTTGTGCAGCTCCCACAGGCGCCTTTCCCAGAAGCTGGGGGGAAGGGCCTCAAACAGACTCCCCCAGAGCCTCGGGGGTGGGGGGAGTCAACCCTGCCTATACCTCCATCTCAGACCTCTGACCTCCGGGATGTGAGAAAATACATTTCTCTCGTTTGCAGTCACCGAGTTTACAGCTGTAGGAAACAGACAAACCTTCCCCGGAGGTGTGGTCTGGGAAGCCCTCTCCCCTCGTACAGGTGAGCAGACAGAAACCCAGGGACATGGGGTGGCTGCAAATCTCACTGAGGCCCGGGGAGCTGCCCACTCCCCTCTCCCCACTCTATACTATTTTATGGCTCCCGAAATGAACTGGCTCCCTGATCACATGAAGGCGGGTGAGGTGGCACTGACAGGGATGAGAGGGAAAATGCGAGTTCTAAAGGCGGCTGCAGAGGGAGA